TTAAGGAATACATTACGGCGACGCTAGCAACTTTGTTACTTAGGTTGGAATAAATTGAGACCCCCCCTAAATGAAAAAAAAATCACTGGTTGGAATGGCTGTTCATCACAGCCTGTGCTGGTGAGAGTTTTCAAAACCAGCCGGCCTGTGCTGGGAAGTTGCCAGACATTGCAGTTATAAAGGACCATGACGAGCCTTTGTTGTGGGCTTGTCGATGAGGGGTGGGCTTCACTGAAGTCTGCCCAATTATCTCAAACTGCTACAGTTTTGTGGTAAGGAAGTGGGAGAGGCTGGGCACTGCCTGGTCCCCACAGCATGTGCTGGGGTTTTGTAAGTATGGCGATAATCGTTACATGCCAGGCAGTGTTAGCCTGCCAGAACCTTGCCAACATTGATGCAGAACAGACATCAGCTCAGCGGCATGGTTTAACCCAAGCAGACACTCTCCAGCATATTGAACTCCTCTCACCGTCTACCCATCGTCTATTCTTCGTCTACAATAGATGAATCGACTATAGACGACATGTATAGACGACTCGACTTTAGACGAACTATTGTAGATGACTCGTCTAATAGACGGGTCTTCAGGATATAGACGACCGAAAAAAATACAGACGCACCTGATGCATCCTCACCGCAACAATTGTTGTGCTGGGTGAAGGGACAGCTTTGTGGACACCTTGGACATATGGCCACGATCTTCATATTTTGTTGAGCTACTGTGTGCGAACTACTGTCCTTATTGATGCAGTGGTAGTAGCCCCTTTCGTTAGCCATGGAATGCTGCTGATGTCAATTGCTAGTTGGTTAGGCAAGCTGCGGGGTTGCCCAAATAGGCAATCTGGTGCAGTTTCTGAGGGAAGTGTCTGCTAGATGTTTTAGTATGTACTGTTGTNTTGGGTTGGGGAGATGAGTAAAAGTGTGCACATGTTCAGATGGCTGCTGATGACTGGCAGTATGTAGGTATCAAAATGGCATGTAATGTAGTGTTACAGAGTGGGAGGCTTCTGGGCCACTTTATCACATTGTCAGTTCTACGACTTATAGGGTTGTTGAAATTATTAGAATTTCAGGCGTTCTCTACTAATTATAATATTATTTCTAATTAGAACGTTAGAAATAATATTAGAAGACCTGGGGTAACTTCTCAGGGAGGGGGACTTTTCACTTCGGAGTTTCACCATGGTTACGGCAGATGCTAACCCAGGTGTTTTTAACGGTTTTTACGGGGCTACGACACCCGTAAGCAGGACTTCTCAGCCAAACCCCCGGTCGAAGTGACCTCTGGGTCACTAATTTCGCCTTTAAACTGTCTTAGACTGTCTTAAACTGTCTCTGCGTACGCCTTCCCAACATCTTTGGTACCTGAACCAAGAGTCCAAGAGTCCAGTCCTAATTGTCTGCAAAGCAACACCCAACACACAGTCTGGACATGCCAAACCTGTCGCCCCAAAACTTCTAGCAAAATCCTCATCAACTCATGCAAATTGCCCCAAGGCTTCCACGGCCCCTTCCTTCACTCCCCCTGCACGTCCAGCCCCTCCAGCAGCTGCATCAGCACCTCCTCATCCATCCCACACCGCTCCATCTGCAAGGCCTTCCGGTTCTGCCGGATGTAAATCAGCTGCGGAGGCGGCCTGAATAGCCATTCTAATGGGTGTACGACATTAGAACGTTCTAATCTGTTCTAAAGGGGTCTTCTAACTTTCTCATTAGAATTCTAATTAGTTTAATTGTAATATTATTTGTAGTTTCTAATGCACCAACAACCATAACGATTTATCACCTTATAGCACCAAATGGCATGTGTCACTGCGTTTTTTTACTGGTGTAACCAGTACTTGCCAGTATCTAATCTATTGTATCACAGCAGATGAATATTCCTCATCCTCTGACCCTAGAGAATGCATAGGTTCCGAACTGTTCTGAACCATGTCACCCCAACAGTCAGCAGGTGCACCAACCGGCAACAAGATGTGTCGTTCCTAACTAAGCCAACACACGGTAGGGCTCCTGTCTAATAGGCCACTCATATACTCGTACACAATGCTGCACAAAGTAAGTACAGATCACATTCTGGGGTTTGAAGCCGTTCCAGGAGTTCGTCTATCCCCACATATTCAAACTCGAATTAGATGACATTGTAGCACTGCCCATATGAATACACAAGTTGTGTAACACGGTACGACAGGTTGTGTCCCCCTTAAGCATAACCCAGGGGTTAGGGGTAGGGGTAGGGGTAAGTGGTTACCCATGTGGCTATGTACGAAGGGAGGTGGGTAACCTAACCCCGGGGTAGGGGTAACCCCTTACCAAGGGGTAACAAAGGGGTAGGGGTAACCCCTTACCAAGGGGTAACAAAGGGGTAGGGGTAATATTGTACTGAGGGGTAACAGACAGGGTAACCCGTGTTTACAAGTGTTCCTTGTCCGTATGCCGGGCCATATGCTGGTGTCAATGGATTGTAAGCATGTCCCTGTCCAACCTGCCTACACATGCTATCACAGCTGTCTCATCCATCTATGTGAGCACGTATGCCTATTTCGCCTATGTAAAAAAATATTTGCATGCCTCTCTATACACTTCCATCCATGCATATGCCTGTATCAAGCTCACATGTCTACACATACAAACATACATGTTCACCAAACACTTCGAGTGTACAATTGTAAAGATTGCCTCACCAACACAAGCCTTGCAGGGCTGTAGAGCCCGCCCATGGCCCCAGGCTCGGGGTGTGTATAAACTCGCTAATTACACCAACGTCATCATATCAAGAGAAAGGAAATCAGACCCAGCCCCCAGATTCAGTTCCGTATGATCTGATGTACGGCTCCATACACATGTCTCACTAAACGAGTTCCTGACTCCGATAATCAAATATCGGATAATCAAATATTTCTCCGATATCTGATTAATCCGAGGTCTCCCACCACGGGGACTCTAGAGTCCAGACCTGTTTTGCATGCACGGAAAAGAAATGGCAAAATTTAAGGTTATGCTTAATAACTGTCATACGACAGAAACCGGGAGGATAGCTATAGGTGGCAATACACATATCAGCTGCAGGGTTTTAACATTAGCTAGTGCCCAACTCTGAACAAAACCCAAAACCAAAACCCTGAGAGCACAACTTACTTCACTCACTGCCTATCCGTGGATCAGCTGACCCTCGACGGCGGCGGCTGGTCTTTGCCTGCTCTGCACCAGCCTCAGTTGGGGG